CAGCTTGATAAAGCCGGCTTGAAGGCGGACTTAAAGGAGCAGAGTTTTCTTTTTGGTGTGGTGATAGTTTTTCTCCTGCCTCGTCTGCTGGTGAAACGCACATTCTAGAACGTCGGAGAGACCAACTCGAAGAAGTTTCTTCAGTGTTTTAGCAGCTATTCAGGTAATCGATAGTCGTCTGCAAAACCTTCATCATATCGCATGCCCATTTGGCTTAAATCACGGATGTGATTATGAAACCGAAACCCCGTCCACCTGAACCTACAATCTTAACGACGGAAACGTTAAAGATGGTTTTCATAAATACAGCATGCGTTGCAAGGTCCGGTATTGCGCATTGAATATGATCGGTCAGCACTCGCGTTCGTGATCATTATCTGATTTCGGTCAAATAGTTGTCATCCAAGACGCTTCACAGAAGTCAGTAGGAAATGACCGATTGCGATTGGTTACGTGTAATCCGTTAGTGTTACACGATATCTCTAGAGAATTTTCCTCTACTCTGAGTCATTCATGCATTCCTGACTCTCAGATTCATTAATCCTCAGGTGCTCGTCCTGCCAGATTCCGTCTTCGATGTTTTCCATTCCACTGTTCGCACATACATGTCAGACATTTCAAGTCACATAATACGGAACCTTTTCGCTGTTCTGTCAACCTCTCTTTTCTCGACCAGAAAGCACGTAGATAGTTCTGGAAGGGGGCTAAGTTACCCACTAGTCTTTGCAGCAGGTGCATTGACGGGAACTTCAGGACTCCCTTGAAACTTTATGCTAAGTACACTTCTGTAGCGAGCGTGTAATTGCATTCCTGATTTCAGACGAGGAGGCTTAAATTTTGTTTGTTAAGTCTAATTTTTCGGCCGTAGGAGCGAAAGGATTTCCAGAGGTTGTGTTGGTTTTGTCTGCGATACTAAGTTGGTTTGCATACGCGTCTACTTGGCCTTACTTCTGTGTCTATCCGACCACTGTTAGACCTCTCTTTTGAAGTTAAAATTCCTTATTCTTCTCTTCTTGATATGCTTTCATGGCCGTTTAGCTTGGGAGCAAAATGGTTAAGTAATCTTATGCCATCCGTCTCCCTTCTATTTCTAAGAAAATGTACAGGTGTATAAATCGCCCACACAATTTTCGCATGTAAACATGATATTTTGTTAACGAAGAAACAGCTGGTCCGCTGGGGTAGGGGGAGCGATCTGACGGAGGGCGGCTAGATCTGCGCAGCTCGTTATTCTTTTAGCGCATTTTCATGGGTCCGTGATCTGTTGGGTGGGGGACTGGCAGAAAACCAACGAGGAACTAGGAAGCTGACCGGCACTCATCCTACGACTTCATCGTCCCTCATAAGCAGAACGGATTGATTATGAGGAAGTCATGCGTAGCAGGTGCGCATGACGGATCTGGAAAGCCTACACTCACAACGGCGATCGAGGTATCATTTACTGGACAAGAGAGAAATCTAGGATACAAAGCTAACGAGGTGAATTAAAACGTTCCTCAGGGCCAGCGTATGCTTTCCCCCTCATTGTCGGCAAAAGGGCTCAAGGTCTACGGTTTGAAGTCACCAAGGAAGAACAAAGGATGTTTCCCATAGGCCTTGTCAGTGACTAGTAGGAGACCGACTGCGGACTGTGGGAGAAGTTATGTGAGACATAAGCAAAAGCATCCGGGATCAACATGGCCGACTGGCCGTCAATCAGACGGAGACAGCAGGAGACGCTATTAACGACGATGGGTATCAGATTACTGCCTGTGTATACCAAGTTATCTAAATTAAATAGATAGACATTCCGTTGAATATCGTCCAAGGGTAATTATAACCTATGCGCTAAATACGTAGGCCTTGTCCTCGTGCGTGGTACTTTTTACGACTGGGAACCACTTAGCACGCCCAGCTGTAGGTGATCCGATGCAGGTCTGCGACATTTTTGGGCTGGTAGGTGTGTTCAGTGGTTAGCCAGGCTATCCTTTGGCCGCATTGCAGGCTGGCGGATTGTTGAGCCTAGCCTGTGAGTGATTACCTCTCGGATTTGTGCGAGAGCTCTATCCGATGTCCTAAAGACGCCCTCCACGCGTGGGACGCTCCAACATGATCTTGGTCAAGTTAGCTGTTAATTTCGCTTCCTTGGGCGCATTTGACTCCTTCCAACTAATGCTCATAGATGTGCTTTTTTGTCTGAATAGTCCTCATCGGCGTTTAATCGCATTCTGCTTGAGGGCTGAGGCAATAAAATTTCTTTCCGCCCGTCGTTTGCGTTACATGGAGAAAAATGCACATGCAATGGAAGTTGTGCGCACAATTATCCAGTCTCTGAAGGTAAGCGGGCGATATCTCCGTTCGAAATGTGAGGACGAAAGAATCAATTCCCACCAACGAACGCTCTCCGTCGTTTTACATGATAGCATGGAATTGTATGTATGTCCCACGTTATGGTCAGGTAAAGTCCCTCGGTCAGTGGAGACGCAGGGTTTGGGATGGGGAGCATCTCCGTTTATTGTGTTTTGGCTGCCTTCACTGCATACAGCTGCCATGGCCATCTGTGTTTGCAGCAGGTGCCGATAGTTTGGGGCTTATTACCCAGTCCCTTCTCATGTGAAAGGCAGGTTTAAAGCTCCTGGTTTAAAGTAGATATGATCTACTGCCAAATCGGTACATTACATAAGTTCATTACATTCAGCAGTGGCAGTGGCGATCCGATTGGCTTCATAGACTGCTGCTCCAGTCTTCGCTGCTTTTCTCCAGGCCAGTCGGTCCTGCCCGAGGTCTTCGCAAATCTTTGAGTTTATTTATAGCCATTCCAAGGAACCCTTCAAGGTATCCTTGTAGCGTCTGCTTTGACCTTTTCGGCAAGCACTCGTAGTGACATCGACATAGAAGAGTCGTTCCGGTATACGCCCATCCTCCTTCCTCACGAGGTGGTCACACCATCGTAGTCGAAGTTACCCTAGCATGCCATGGATGCGGGATTCCAGTCCGTTTCAAAACTTTCGTGTTCTGCTATCTCCGGTTAAACATTCACCAGAGACAAGTGAGATGTAAGTGATTGAGTTCTCGGGCCTGTTTCTCGTAGACTGTCTCTCTTTTTCGCGCCATGCATCAAAATCTTCGAAATGAGAGCTTTCCGCACCTTAAGTTTGGTTTTGATGTGGGGACCGCGGCAATTACACACAGAGTTTCTCAGCCGGCCGAAGGATTGGCTGGCCATGGAGATCCAGTAGGTAAATTCGTCGTAAGATTTCACTGCAGCGTGAGAGTGTGCTGTCTAAGCAGGCAAAAATGTCCACGGTTTTCGGTTAAGTACCATTGCTGTTAGTGCGAGGAACACTGTATGCTGCGTTTTGCGGCGGTTGATGCATGATCACCGTTTTGTCCATTTTGATACTCAGTCCGGAGTTGACGCAGTCGAAGCCGAAAAGGTGTCCGCTTCTGTCGAACTGTTGGGCGCGAAGCCATCCGCAAACAACAGGTCGGGACGGTTACCGTGGCGAGGCACGTTGAGGCCTGCATGCGCCGGCCATTGAAAAGATGGCAGGTGGTCCTGAAGGTGGTGCGGATCCCCGATAGTTTATCAGGCTAGGCGTCCATCAGCAGGCTAATAAACATGAGACTGAAGAGGGTTGAGGCAAGTACATAACCCTGCTTCACTCCATTGGTTACTGAAAATTCTCCTGAAGCGATCGACTTGTCCGCGACGCGCACTATCTTGCCTTCGTGAGCTGACGCACCATGTGCGAGAATCACTCAAGACAGCCGAATTTCTTCATGACTTCCCACAATCCATCGTGATGCGTGACAGTTCGAGCGTCGTGACGGACGATGTCCACCGTGTGCTCCACAGCAGGGTGCGAGCCGGGACGGTAGCTTGCACGCGAATTAGATCAGTGTTTTTCAACTTGCGTAGCATCCGCCGCACTCTCTCCTCCCTCCACCCCCACCTGGGCTCGGTGTCATGACCAAATCAAGATGATGGACTTCAGGAGAGGGTGCAGGTGTTTGGCACTGCCGGACTCGCGCCTAGACATTCCACCAGATTTCCCCGTCTACACTTGACCAATATTTTGTACAGCAAGGGAAATAGGGGGCGGCACGGATCCCACTGTTTGCGGCGTAAGCCTGCACCTGGGCATGTCATCATGCCCCCAATGCTCGCCTTTTTATGGGTACGCATTCCAGGTAACACCTAGCCCCCGTGTTGGTCCAGCACCTCTACCTTTTGACCCCTTTTTAGGAGCAAACATACACGCACACACGCTCCCGCGAACCTCCTCCACACTACGGCCTACCTCCCATAAGATCGTACCTCTCGCAGGCATCAAACATGCGATTCCTCTTGCCATGGCCGCAATGACGGGCGAAACATCGCATACAAACACATGCACATCTCACGCAAGTGAAACGAATATCCCCTCATGAATCATCGAACAACTCGAGTGAGGACAAATTCTTGTGTGAAACATGTAGACGGGCCGTTTAGTCCTGTCAGTAAGTGAAATAATACCCCCTGCCCTTCAGGATTTAACGGTTGCTACTCACTTTTATTGAGTAGGCGTCTGCTTTTGCTTATCAAACTCGGAGATCACTCCTTCGGCAGCATATTTTTGTACTCCTGCGGTTATAAAATTCGCGAAGATCTGACGCACGCATCAAGGTTGATACTTCTGGTAGAGACATGTAAGATTTTTAGAGAAGCAAGTGGGATTTAATGGAGTTAGAGTAGCTTGAGGAGTGAAGGCGGAGAGGTGAGAGGAAGACGCAGAAGTATGGGAACTCTTGCGCTCATTTCGAACCGGGAGGAGAAATAATCGCTGAGAGGTGATCAGGGACTTATGCTCATTTCGTGAACGCATTTTCGACGAAGGAGTGCAGGCGGTTATCGTCAGCACGCGCAACGCACGCCCTCACATGCGGAAGCACGCACCGGTGTGCGTGAAGGCGTCAGGTGCGTTCCCTGCTTGGAGGTTTGGTACTGAGATTCCGAGTGAGTCATCCCCCACAGTTTCATGGCACTCTTGTGTCCCGTTATTGCCGTCTCAGCCACGGTCCACTCGGTCGAGGTGGCGCCGCGCAATAACTCCGCACTAGCGCGTGACTCGAAGTTAACGAATACCACGGTAAGTTTGTTTTTACGCAGGGGCTGGAATTGCGTCTATTAACAAATCCATTGAAGTATAAATGGACCCCAACACTTACAGGAAGGTTTTCAGTGGAATGGAGAATTCCACCGCCGAAGTTTATCTTTCGATCGTCAGTGCTTGACCAATTTAACTGTGTACGAAAGATGTAGGTCGTCCGTTGATAAGGGTCTCAATGCCGAGACGGGCGAAGATGCGGGTTCCTGTAAGTAGTTCATAAGAAGTAGAAGCGATCGTTAAAACGTTTTGCTGATCGCTGACGTTTTGGATTTTCGCTCGAACCCATCATCAGATACAGCGACAGATGGGGGTGATTCGTGCATAGGAGGTAGCAGTACTTATAGGCTGCACACTCAAGTTTGATGAGATCGAAATTCTCGCGAGAGGTGATAATCGCGTGAGCCGCGAGTTGCTTCAGTCGTGGTTCGCGGGACCTCAGTCTATCAGCAAGTGCAGTGACATCCCCACTCCATATTCGGTGCTGAGGCATTGTCTGGGCAAAGTAATTAAACATTCGGGAGCTGACGGGCCGGTGAGCCAGAAGGCCAAGCAATAATCACGCCAGTATCCAACACAGGTGATGAGATTTCAGCAATTGGCAACTTTCGTGCTAGTCATCAAGCCATCAATGCGCCAGCGGGGTGTAGGGGTGCCAGCGGTGGGTTCACGTAATGGTCGTGGTGGTCGCTCAGTTGCTTGCAAGTGGGACTGCGCCTAGCGTCCACTTGCTGGCACTCAACTCTCATCTGTGGCTCCACGTAGCTGGACTCTGTTTAGCGGCCACACCCCGGGCAACCGTCTCGACCGGCGGGCTAAACCAGGTGAGGGGGCCCTGTGCGCTGTGCCGTGTGCACAGGGTTTGCGGATTCCGCTGGATGGAAGGTCGGATGGAACTTTGCGTCGGCACCGTCGTGACGTGGTTCGTCGCTGCACGCCGCTGAACAGCCGGTGACGGGATGGATCTCCACATCGACATCGCCTTGACGCGCCCACCTACGCCGTCGGAGACCGCGGCTTACGGCGAATTCGAGTCGCTCTCCACTACAACCCGAAGTCGTGGTCCCATAGTGGAGTTCGGCCGTGCAACAACGGCACATGGCAGCCCTATTCAGGGATGGCACTGCCAGCCCCCACGGGAGGAAGGGCCTAGAAAAAGTGGCCTAAACATTGCTCGGTACCACGCCGTCTCCAGGCTAGCCAGGGCCGCAGATTTCTAATCATGGTCGAAACAATCAAAATCGAAACAACAACAACAATACCAATAACAACAACAACCATACTCATTCTCCTCATCCTACCTCTTCTTCCTCTTCCTCTGCCTATTCTTCTCCTTCGACACCTTCTTCTCCCTCTCCTTCCCGTCGCCCCACTCGTTGTCACCAGACTAGCAGGGTGAGCCCGCTCACTCTGGCAGACTGGAATGTTCGTTCCCTTTTAGACAATCCGAGGAGCAACCGACCGGAATGGAGGACGGCGCTAGTGGCACGAGAACTGGCGCGCTACAAGGTGGACATCGTCGCACTCAGCGAGTCCCGATTCTCCGAACAAGGCCAACTGGAGGAGGTGGGTGCCGGCTACACGTTCTTCAGGAGCGGTCGACCCAGGGCAGAGCGACGGGACGGGAGTGTCGGCCTCGCCATTCGGAATGACATCGTGGGACGACTGCCCTGTTTGCCGCAGGACATCAACGATCGCCTGATGAGCCTCCGCCTGTATCTCTGGGGAGGCAAATTCGCCACCATCATCAGCGCCTACGCTCCGACGATGACCAACCCCGACGCCGTCAGAGACAAATTCTACGTGGACATGCAGGCCCTCTTGGCGACTGTGTCGAAGGCGGACAAGTTGATTGTCCTGGGTGACTTCAACGCCCGCGTCGGCACAGATCATGCTGCCTGGAGGGGAGTGCTGGGTCCCCACGGTCTCCGCGGCTCCAACGAAAATGGTCTGCTGCTTCTCCGCACCGGCGCAGAACACCGTCTCATGAAGAGGGAGACACGATAGCCGGGACAAGAACTTTATTAGCCTGACGTTTCGGATTCCTACTCGAATCCATCATCAGAGACAAATAGCAGAAACGGGTGGTTGTTGCACAAGGGGCTGCGGTATTGATAGGATGCAGTAGCCATGCTACCGCATACCTATGAACGTTCACGACTCCCGCCTTCATCCGGGATTGTCGCACTTGGTGGGATCATTGCTTGATGGCCGACATTCGAGTCGATAATTGCAGCAATTTCATCACGTGCGTTGGATGTTGGCGTGATGATTGCTCGACCATCTGACGCATCGACCCCGGTGTTGGGAAGAGTGTTCACCTCTGCGCTCCCGGCATGGCTTGTTACCCCGCCTAGGCGAAGTTTCAGTACGGAGTATGGAATGGGAAGATCGTTGCACTTGTTGATGGACTGGGGGCCAGTAAACCATGATTCCAACGCACGTGATGAAATTGCAGCAATTATCGACTCGAATGTCGGCCATCAAGCAATGATCCCACCAAGTGCGACAATCCCGGATGAAGGCGGGAGCCGTGAACGTTCATAGGTATGCGGTAGCATGTCTACTGCATCCTATCAATACCGCAGCCCCTTGTGCAACAACCACCCGTTTCTGCTATTTGTCTCTGATGATGGATTCGATTAGGAATCCGAAACGTCAGGCTAATAAAGTTCTTGTCCCGGCGATCGTGTCTCCTTCTTCAAGACTACTTCCTGGGACTCGGCTCTTTGCTTCTATTGGCAATGTATTTGGACGCGATGCACTCCGATCGGCCCGGCGATGGGAAACCTTCGCCCTTCGGGAGGCCCCTACGTATTCGCAGATCCGGTTGCTGCACAGGTGTCTCGACAGTAATGTGTTACCGAAATGTGTTTCATACAAGCCACCGGTTAACACGGATTTAGCGAGACGAGCAGTATTTCAGCACGGCAGAAGGATGATCCGAGTGCTCCTCCAAGATTTTCACGCGAGTCTTCGTAAGTACCGTCAGCGGATTGACCAGGAAAAGACCAGATGCTGTGAGTTCATGCGCAGAACACCGTCTCATCCTGCCGAACACCTTCTTCTATCTGTCGGAGCGAGAGTAGGCCACCTGGAGGCATCCTCGGTCGCGTCAGTGGCATCTGTTGGACTATGTCCTCGTCCGGAGGCGAGATCAGCGGGACGTGCTGGTGACAAAGGCGATCGCGGGCGCTGACGGGTGGACCGACTATCGCCTCGTCATCTCGAAGATGCGTATTCGCCTACAGTCTCACAGGAGACCGCAAGGTAAGCGACCCCCAGGCAAGCTGAATGTTGCTTTGTTGTGTTTGACCGCTCACCATCTTCATTTAAGCAATGAGCTAGCTCAAAGTCTAGACAACCTTCCTATCGCTGCCGACGCCGCTGCTACCGAGAACGCCTCCGTGGAGAATCGCTGGTGTCAACTGCAAGACACGATCCAGTCGACGGCGCGTGCCGTCCTCGGTCGCGCTCCCCGCCAACACCAGGACTGGTTCGACGACAACGACGCCGCCATCAGAAATCTGCTTGCCGAGAAGAACCGCCTACACAAAGCCTACGTATATCACCCCATTGATGCCACCAAAGCTGCCTTCTACCGCAGTCACCGCCAACTTCAGCAACGACTGCGCGAGATGCAGGACGCCTGGACTGCTCGCAAAGCTGAGGAGATCCAAGGCTACGCGGACCGCAACGAATGGAAGAACTTCTGCTCCGCTATCAAAGCTGTCTACGGTCCGCCGACGAAGGGCACTGCTCCTCTCCTCAGTGACGACGGCAACACTCTCCTGACTGAGAAGACGCAAATCCTACAGCGATGGGCCGAGCATTTCCGAGGCGTACCCAGCCGCCCCTCCGTCATCTCCGACGCCGCCATCGCCCGCTTGCCGAAAGTGGAGACCAGCGTGGACCTCGACCTCCCGCCATCTCTCCAGGAAACGATCAGGGCCGTGCAGCAGCTCTCCAGCGGGAAAGCACCCGGATCGGACGCAATCCCTGCCGAGGTCTACAAGCACGGAGGTCCCCAACTGATGGATCACCTGACTGCGCTTTTCCAAGACATATGACGTCAAGTTGAAGTCCCGAAAGATTTCAAAGACTTAACCATCGTGCATCTCTACAAGCGCAAAGGGAATCGCCAAGTCTGCGAAAATCACCGCGGCATCTCCCTGCTAAAAATCGCCGGGAAGATCTTCGCCCGCATCCTTCTCAACCGCCTCAATAACCATGTGGAACAGGGCCTTCTGCCGGAAAGCCAATGCGGCTTCCGTCGTCAGTGTGGGACCACGGATATGATCTTCGCCTTCGACACGGTGAATCGTGAAGGACTGTGGAAGATCATGCAGAAATTCGGCTGTCCGGAGCGCTTTACTCAGATGGTACGTCAGCTGCACGACGGTATGATGGCGCGAGTCACGGACAACGGAGCTGTCTCAGAGGCATTCGCAGTGACCAGCAGAGTGAAGCAGGGCTGTGTGCTGGCGCCTACCCTCTCCAGTCTTATGTTCTCTGCCATGCTGATGGACGCCTACCGCGACGAACGCCCTGGAATCCGCATCGCCTACAGGACGGACGGTCACCTCCTGAATCAACGGCGGATGCACTTCCAATCGCGCGTATCCACAACCACCGTTCACGAACTCCTCTTCGTCGACGACTGCGCCCTGAACACCACCTCGGAAGGGGAGATGCAACGGAGCATGGACCTATTCTCCGCCGCCTGCGAGAACTTCGGTCTGGTCATTAACACGCAGAAGACGCTGGTGATGCACCAACCGCCGCCAAACACAGCACCTCCTCCCAACGCGCCGCTATCGTAAATCAGCATGAACGGAACCCAACTGCAAGTGGTGGAGAACTTCCCGTACCTGGACAGTACTCTCTCCAGCAACACCAAGATCGACGACGAAGTAGCCAACAGGATCTCGAAAACCAGTCAAGCCTTCGGTCGTCTCCAAAGCACAGTTTGGAATTGCCACGGTCTTCAGCTGAGCACGAAGCTGAAGATGTACAAGGCCGTCATCCTGCCGACGCTACCGTATGGAGCGGAGACTTGGACGCTGTACGCACGTCGTCTGAACCACTTCCACCTCAGTTGTCTTCGTCGCATCCTGAGGCTGAAGTGGCAGGATCGAATCCCCGATACTGATGTGCTGGAGTGGACGGGAATCCTCAGAATCTACGCCATACTCAGGCAAATTCAGCTGCGCTGGAGCGGCCACCTGGTGCGCATGGACGACGAGCGACTACCCAAACGACTCTTCTTCGGAGACGTCGCGACGGGTTCTCGCCGTCAAGGAGGCCAGCTTCGCCGTTACAAGGATACCCTGAAGTCCTCCCTGAAACGCCTGTAAATCAACCCCACCAACTGGGAGAAGCTCGCACTCGATCGACCGACCTGGAGGAGGACAGTGAAGACAGGCGCTGCGATCTACGAAGCCAACCGCATCGTTGCCGCCAAAGCGAAGCGTGAAGCCCGCAAATCACAACTTCGCCCAGTACGCAACGCCGCCGCACAACCGCGTCCAACGTGTCCTCGGTGTCAACGGACATTCCGGGCTCGAATCGGACTTGTTGGACATCTTCGGATTAACTGCGCCTCTCGAACGGCACCAACCATCGTCCCCCCGCCCGCCTCTACCTCCTCCTCTCCGCCGCCAACTAACTCTGACATTTCTTCTGACCCACCACTTCCATCATCCTCCTCCTCCTCCTTCTCCTCCTCCTCCTCGCCCACTGCTCCAACGGCGGCCGCTCAGGTGACTGTCCCGCGCACAAAAACCGACACTACCCCCACCTCCCCCGACTCCAGCGATGAGGATCAGGACTACACCTGCCCTCACTGCGGCCGCATCTTCACCTCACACATCGGCCTGGTCGGTCACTTGCGAATCCATCGCACAGAGACTGGCGAACCAGTGCCTGGAGCACCCATCTATACCCACCAAGCTCGTCTCAACTGCCCACACTGCCCTCGCACTTTCAGGCATCGCATGGGTCTCTTCGGCCACATGCGCATCCACGACGACCTGCGGTAGACAACCGCCGGTCACACCACACATTCACTCACTCCCTAACTCCTCCACCACCACCATCACCCCACC